CTGAAGCATCTGTATTGCAATCACACACCCATATCATGGCTGACATGAAGGAGAAAGCATTTATATGCCTGGAATGTGGGAAGAGTTTCACTCAGAGGAATCATCTGAAACGACATCAAAGGACTCACACTGGGGAGAAACCCTATACATGCCTGGAGTGTGGGCAGAGCTTCTCTGAGAGTTCAGAACTACATAGACATCAAAGGATTCACACAGGGGAAAAGCCCTATACATGCCTGGAGTGTGGGCAGAGCTTCACTAGGAGTGGAAATCTACATTCACATCGAAGGATTCACACGGGGGAGAAACCCTATACATGCCTGGAGTGTGGGCAGAGCTTCACTCATAGTTCAACTCTACATAAACATCAAAGGATTCACACTGGGGAGAAACCCTATAAATGTCTGGAGTGTGGAAAGAGCTTCACTCAGAGTTCAAATCTACTTGCACATCAAAGGAGTCACACAGGGGAAAAACCCTATACATGCCTGGAGTGTGGAAAGGGCTTCTCTGAGAGTTCAGATCTACATAAACATCAAACGATTCACACGGGGGAAAAGCCCTATACATGCCTGGAGTGTGGGCAGAGCTTCAGTAGTGGTACAAGTCTACGTTCACATCAAAGGATTCACACTGGGGAGAAACCCTATACATGCCTGGAGTGTGGAAAGAGCTTCTCTCAGAGTTCACATCTACATTCACATCAATGGATTCACAAGGGGGAGAAACCCTATACATGCCTGGAGTGTGGAAAGAGCTTCTCTCGGATTGGAAATCTACATTCACATCAAAGGACTCACACTGGTGAGAAACCCTATACATGCCTGGAGTGTGGGAAGAGCTTCACTATGAGTGGAAGTCTACGTACACATCAAAGGATTCACACTGGGGAAAAACCCTATACATGCCTGGAGTGTGAGAAGAGCTTCCTTAGGTCTTCTGATCTAGAAAAACATAGAAGGATTCACACTGGGGAGAAACCCTATACATGCCCGGAGTGTGGAAAGAGTTTCGCTGAGAGTGGAAGTCTACGTACACATCAAAGGATTCACACTGGGGAGAAACCCTATACGTGCCTGGAGTGTGGAAAGAGCTTCAGTGACAGTTCAAATCTACGTTCACATCAAAGGATTCACACTGGGGAGAAACCCTATACATGCCTGGAGTGAGGAAAGAGCTGTACTGAGAGTTCAGGATTCACACTGAGGGAAAATCCTATAAATGCCATGAGTGATGACAGAGCTTTACCCATTGTTTACGTTCACATCAAAGGACTTACACTGGGAGAAACCCTATAAATGCAGTGTGTGGAAAAATATTATCTGAGAATGGAAATCTGCATAGA